TTATGTCGACTTGCGCTGCTTGTTACAGTGAGGCGACTGCTTTCCAACATTTGCCGTGATTGTTTTCCTACTCAGACATTATGCGCATCGACAGCATCATAGTGGGAGTGAAAGAACGCAACTTGGCCAATCCACAGACGTATTCTGCTATTCTTCTCCTCCCATCACATTGTGTATCCTTTGAGGTTTTTGGTGACCATTTTCATACAGTCTTTGGTATCACTTAGATCATGTTGAAGTCCCGTCTCATGCTGTTGGACGAGCCAGCGAGATCAGCGGATACAAGTGACGAAAGATTTTCATGTGAACTCCCTCTGATTTGTTTTCTGTCTGCAGCAATCTTGACGGCGATGCCAAAGAGACAGCCAACATTGCTTTCTCTGCTGTTCGTAATCCCTGGAAAGGATCTCGATTGTCATCGGAGCTCCTTGGAAGCTGTGCGTGTTTGTTTCTGCCCTTGTGACTGTATATCCTCCCTCTCTTCCTTCGCATCTCCCTTTGAGTTGCTCTTCTCTGCTACTTCGATAGCTTTCCTTCCTCCTCCTTCCTCGTCCTCCTCCTCCTCCACCACCTCCTTCTTCTTCCTTCTCCTTCCTCCTCCTCCTCTCTCCTCCTCTTTTTCATCCTCCTTCCTTCTTCTACTGCTCCTCCTCCTCCTCCTCCTCTCTCCTCCTCCTGCTCCTTCTTCCTCCTCTTCCTTCCTGCTTCTCTTCTTTCTTATTCAAACTGCATGCTAATGCAAGCAGCCGTGGCAGCTCCCGATCGCTTTCACCGTCAGCCAAGTCTCCGTCCGTTTGTCTTCTCCTTGATGATAAGCTCCTGCAACTTTCTTCCGGCAGAGACGCTGTCTGTCCCCTATGCCGCGGCAAACTTTCAAAGGGCGACGTGTTCTCGGTAGAGCAAACGCGGGAGGCTCGACAGAACCTTGCTCGCAATGCATCCGACGAGGACGAGGACGGGGAGAGGCAGACGGATCGGGTGCAAGCGGAAGAGGAGGAGCGGGAAGAGGAGGAGCAGAGGCTGAGCCCCAAGATTCAAGCGCTTCTCCTCGATGTGGAGGAGGCTCTGCAGGCAGACAAGACAGTCAAGTCTGTCGTGTTTTCCAGCTTCCTCTCATGTTTGGATGAGATAGAAAGTGCCATGATCGCTGCTGGCATCCCCGTCTTTCGCATCGATAACACGACGAGCATCCTCCAGCGCCGGCGGCTGATACAAGACTTTGACTCTCATCCTCAAGGCGCCCTTCTCCTCCTCAGCTCCAAGGTGAGAATCCTTTCCACCTCCTTCCCCCTGCTCCCCTCCCCTCGCTCTGACCTCCAGCTAGGTGAGAGGCGCGGGGCTCTCGCTCACCATGGCGTCGAGAGCTCACATGATGGCACCATAGCCCTTTTCTCTGAGACATGCCGAGACTATGTCTGAGAACTGTCCACATGTCATCGCTAAGTAAACTCTGAGTTGAGCTTGCTGTGCTATGAGCTCTGACAGAGCTCACATGATGGCACCATAGCCCTTTTCTCTGAGACATGCCGAGACTATGTCTGAGAACTGTCCACATGTCATCGCTAAGTAAACTCTGAGTTGAGCTTGCTGTGCTATGAGCTCATTGGTGGAACGCGGCAGTCGACGAGCAGGCGATGCATCGGCTCCACCGCATCGGGCAGACGGGCCCAGTCACCATCATCGGCTACAAGTGCCAAGGGACCGTTGAGCACAAGATCATGGAGATGCAGGAGAAGAAAGATTGGCTGGGGAAGGCGCCGATGATGAGGATGGAAGCCGACGAGCTGCTGGAAATGCGCCTGCGGCTGTTGAGGACGCTGATCCTGAGATAGAGTCAGGGATGTCGTGAGAGACGACTACTCGGTGGGAGACGACTACTCGGTGGGAGACGACTACTCGGTGGGAGACGACTACTCGGTGGGAGACGACTACTCGGTGGGAGACGACTACTCGGTGGGAGACGACTACTCGGTGGGAGACGACTACTCGGTGGGAGACGACTACTCGGTGGGAGACGACCGTACTCGGATCTGATGTGAAATTTATTCGTATGTTCATTCTGCTTCCACCAGCCTCGGAGATCCTCGTCCTGATTTTAACTTAACTGATTTTCCTCGTACTGATTTTAACTTAACTTCCAACAGCCTCGGAGATCCCTCGGCGTCGCCCACTTGTCCTCTCTCAAACTTGATGCTGCTGATAGACACAAGGGGGGGGAGACTCGGAACTTACCGTACCGACTGATCGACCGTTATAAACCGTTGCCCGTGTCGCCACCGTACCATCTACCGTACAGAGTCAGCGACTACTTGTATTCCGGCAATGAAACAGGGCCACAGTGAAATCGAGTACCTTCCGAGCGTGGGCGCAGGTTCTTGTTGCCAACTTGGGACTGCTCGGTCACCTGCTGGGGAGGCATGTGCGACAGCGGGTGCTGAGGCTGGCAAGTCATGAGGATGCTGGCTTCGCTTCTCCTCTCTTGGCTCTCGGCTCTCCCTCCCTTCTCTTCCCTCCTCCTCCTCCTTGTCTCCCCCCCCGAAGCCTCACGGGCTGCTGACGCTGACAGCGAGCGCTCACGGCTCCTCCGCTGCGTCGCTCAGAGGTCAAGTGCAGTGATGTCTGCTGTACTGGCGATGCCAGACCAGCCAGCTAGACTCCAGCAGCAGACAGCAGCCCCTTGTACCTCAAGAGGCTCATCCTCGTACAGCCTGAGGGAAGGACTAGCGCTACTGCTCCTTGCTGCTCGAGCTCACTCGCCTCGTGCCAGCTCTCGCTCCTCGCAAGCCTCTGCTCCTCGTCCTACCAGCAGTGAGGGAAGCCACCCGTACTTGCGACTCTCTCTCAGGCACCAGGGGTCATCCTCCCGAGCACATCTAGTCCTTGTATGCATCAAGCGCTTTGAGAGTCGTTTGACTGACTTTGTTGACGATCAAGGCTGAGACTAGCCTTGAGTGCTGTCCCCTAGCTGGGGTAGGTCCAGTCTGAGGTGAGCTCGCTTTTACTAGGGCTCTGATAGGTATGAGAGCGATATCTATGGCTGCAGCTTGTTGGCTCAGTCTGAGACTAGTCGATACCTAAACCTCTAAGATAATCCTTGACATCTGAGTTAGGAGTCATGGTGAAACAAGTCCAGCCGTGCTTGTCCTTCTCCCTCAGCACCTTCTTCCCGCATGTCTCTACAACATACCGCAGCACCTCCAAGTCCCCTCCCTCACTCGCCATGTGCGCGCATGTCCAGCCGTCATTGTTCTTCTCCCTCAGCACCTCCTCCCCGCATGTCTCTACAACATACCGCACTACCTCCAAGTGCCCTCCCGCACTCGCATAGTGCGCGCATGTCCTGCCGTGCTTGTCCTTCTCCCTCAG